ATCCCAGATCCTTTTTGCTCTTGAGCATAAGAAGAGCAGGTGTTCAATTGTCTCTTTGTGCTCCCCACATATTGAGCGGATGACATCAACTTCCACTCCTCTCATTCTCAAATTCACTGCTACAGGGAGTGTGTCAGAGATGCATTTCCAAAGGAAGTGCTTGATCTTCCCTTGAATTTTCAAGTTCCAACACCTTTGAAACAACTGCTGAGAGTTTTTGTTGTTTGAGCTTGACTCAGGAATGTCCAACTGGCTAATTCTCTGAACAGCCAGAAGTTTGTAGGTACTAGCAACAGAAAACTGGCCTTCTAGATAAATTCCCCACATCCATCTGTCTTATCATGCAGGATTGAGAGTGTTGATTTTAAGAATAGCTGCACTGTCCTCAGAGTCAAACACTTGATCCACTAACCAGGCATTCCATTCCTTTCCTTCATTCTGCATCAAGTCCTTCACCCAAACTAAATGTCCCCTGGCTATTTCAATCAGAGAGGGTGAGGCTTTTTCAACTCTGGTACCCAATTCACATCTTCAATCTTGGTTGAAGAGCCATCCTTGATTTCAATTTTATGCAATTGGCAAAGAGAGGCATCACATAGAGCCAACTATCCCACAACCAGGATCCTTTTTGAGTTTTCTCAGCCTTGCAGATAGTGCAGTCAGAGAAATGTTTGTCCTTGAGGATAGTTGAGTTGAGTTAAATTTGAGTTTTATTGGTATTTTTACTGTTTAAAGTATATCCAATCGCCCCCTAAACAGTCACCCTTAAGAATTTAAAGTAAAAAATACAATGTATTACTTCAAGAAACCATTTAGATTGATGATTACAACAAAAAAAGGTGTTGGTGAATAATAAAAAATAGTTAGTATCAAAAGGACGAACGGAGAAAGAGAATTAATGAATGGGTGAAAATACTTTCAAACAAAATTACGTGGTTCTTGTAATACAGAAGGAAATAATATTCGTATTGTATTAAAAATTAAACATATAAATAAGTAAATTACATTATTCATGATTTACACATTGTTTTTAAAACTTGGCCTAACTGGACAGTCCAACTAGATGGATTGAGAATCGGTTTATCGATCGGTCTAGTTCCTTGAATAATATGTTTCCAATGAATTGATCAACAACGGTCATTCGGACTGATAAGATTGATACAATTTTCGAAATAAATTTTTACATTTAAAATATTTTTAATAAAAATAAAATGCATGTTTAACTAAATGGAGATTTATAAATAATTGTAATTAGTTTGAAAAATTTTAAATTGTTCATATATTTTATTAATATTATATTATATAATTTTATTACAAAAAGTACTTCATAAATATATATATACACACACACACACACACACACACACACACACATATATATATATATATATATATATATGAAAAATTAAATTTCGGTCCAATCAATGAATTGTTGGATAAATAACTTGATTGTTATAACTTGATTGCTTCGATGACCATCTAGTTCTGAGAACCTTGAATTTACTGTACATTAAAAAGTTCGTAATACAATATCATCTTGTTCATATAAATAATAATAAAATTGAGATATAAATATTCATAAAATCATTGAACATGTTATAAAAGCGCTCTTAATATGATTATTTGAAATTTGGACTACATTATATTTATTGTAAAAATATCTTTATTATTCAATTTTAAATTTAGTTTCAATATCGATTTGTTCTCCCCAAACTGACTTATAAATTAGTCACCCGAGATCAACTCTACTTGTGTCATATTTTTTGACTATTTTAAATATAACCTAAAAATAATTCAATCCACCTAGGCAGTAACCTAATTAAATTCTAAATAAATTTACGTATTTTCTATAAACATTTTTTAACTTTATGAAATAAATAATATTTTACGATTCATGTAATAAATGGTTATAAGAAATAAAGTTTATAAAAATTACAAATTATATATCTAAAGATAAATTAATTATTTCTAGTTTTACGCATACTTGCAAAAAATAAATATAACAATTTTAAAAACTTAAATTAATTGATTGATTATGGAATTGACATGATGACTCAATACTAGCATGAGTTTTATGACATAGCTGATATATTTTGTATCAATTAATATTTTGTAGTATGTAATTCATATGTTTTTAAATACCGTAAACGCATGGCGTTACAACCAGCGCTTTACAAAATAAATTACATCCCATTTTATACACATAAATAAGACAAATTGTTCTAATTATCATTTTTAAAATTAAATAATTATTTACAATTCAGTTTGAGTAGTCTTTCATTAATCATTATAATTAAAAAAAAAATATTTTCCTTATACTTTTAAAGAATGATTATTATATATATATATATCTATATATATATATATATATATATATATATATGTGTGTGTGTGTGTGTGTGTGTGTAGATTGGTTTCCGTGAGTCCACATATTTAACATGAGTATGTGAGACTCAATTCTAGCTATTAAATATGAATCAAGATGTATGGACAAGTTCTAACTGATTATTTATTATTTTAAGTATTTAAATATTATTTTGACCATTAACCATTGACTTTCGTGTTGGCCGTTGAGACCCTTGACTTATGGCGTTCACCGTTGACTTTTGACGTTGACTGTTAATTGTAATATGTATTATGTATAAAGTAAATATGCATTTTTATTACCTAAATATGTATAATTAATGAACTAAATATCTATAATGTATATCATTAATTTAAATATAATAAACATGCACTATGGTAACCTAAATATCCATTTCTTATTACCTAATTAATGAACTAAATATGCGTTATCCATATAATTAATTTAAATATAATAGATATGCACTATGATGAATTAAATATGCATTTCATATGAACTAAATATGCATAATGAATGAACTAAATATGCACTATGTATATCATTAATCTAAATATAGCAAACATGCACTATGATAAACTAAATATGTATTTCCTATTAATTAAATATGCATTATGTATATAATTAATTTAAATATAATAAATATGCACTATAATGCAAGTGTGAACGTCCTGGCCCGGTTCGGGGTAGATCGGTTCTTGTCCTCGCCGGTAGAACGCCGAAAACCTGCAAATAACTCTCACACCGGGGGTTGTGTCAGGTGAAGAGCCTCCGATGCTTAAGTCAGTATGTGTATGAGTATACTGGAATTGAGTAATGGAAAAATCGTGTTAAGGAAGAAAGGCTCACCCCCTTTATATAGGGGTAAGGTACCTGCCTAAGGCTGCCTAGATTTGGTGAGGTGGCTGCCCAAGCTGCCCGTTCGTAGTCTGACACACCGCGCGCATGTCAGAGGTGGCGCGGGACGTTGGGACCTGTCAGAGGTGGTTGTCGCTATCAACCAATACGTTCTCGACACGTGTCCTTCTGCACATGGAGTCTTCTGAAATTCCGTTAGAGGCTCTCACACGCGCCTATGACTAGGCCGGTCCCTAGAGTGTTAAGTCCGCGAAGTGGTCGACCTGTCAAGGTTGACTAAACTGCTCGATCGTTTACATGGTCGAATGATAGATTGGTCGACTGCTTGTCTGGTCGATCTTCCCGTCACTTGGCTCTGCTTCTTCACGATACAACCTCTTCAACCGGTTCAGCAGACCAATTTTTAACCCTATGGGTATAATAACCTATATTATCTAGTCCCCCCCACTCTGGTCGAGTCTGAATGACTCGATCTAAGAGTGAATTTGTGCTCGCCGCTCTCCTGGGTTGTATTTCATTTGGTATCAACCATCTAATGAGTTTTCCGCTCACTTTTTCAAATAATTCTTCTTTAATTGCCAGAAATAAAGTCACCTATCACACGTCCTTTCTGCCGTGCCTGCTTTTCTGCCACGCGTCACATCTGCCGCATTTGTCAGGTACTTTAATGATTGCGCCTCCTCGTGTCTCGCACTCTCTTGAATCCGCACTCTTTAATTCCTCTAACCATTCGATTTCATCCTCCATCTAACGGTGCTCCTTCTTCCACGTCTTATTGAGTCTCCATATAAAACCGACACTTAGTAAATTATCGAACTTTTTCCACCTTTGCACTCCCAAACTCTCTTGCATTCAGAAATTTCTCTGCTAACCCTAGTTTTTTTCTCGCGGCGATTCCTCTTGCTCTCCTCAGGCTCTCTCAATCCTTTCATCTGCAACTATGAGTAAGTTGTTCGTCGCTTGAATTTATATTTCCTGTGCCTTGGATTTGTGTATATTTGAATTTTTCGAATTGGGTATCTCGATTTTGCTGGCTGGGGTGTTCTGAATTTTGTGTGTTCGGTACCTGTCTTTGCATGTTAATCCTTGTGAATTTTGTTCCCCTCTTCAAAATCTCCCGAAACTCTTGTTCTTCTTTCTTGATTTCTTCAAAATTGTCTCCTCGTAGAACCCTGATTTTTGAAAGTCTCGCGCTTTTGTTTTGTTTTTTAGATTCTGCAACTTCAACCACCTCCTCTGATTCAATTCAAGAAGTCCCTTTCGTTCCTGACGCTGTTCCTATCTCCATTTTTCGTCCCGGCGAGACCGTTCCTACTGTTGTCTTTACTGCTTGCGCTTCTTCTCCTAACTCCGGGGATAGTATGGAGTCGACCCGCCTTTGCCTCAATGGATATGCCGGAGGATGAGGACGAGCTTGATGCTATCCCCCTCTCTTCTCGATTTACCAATCCTTCTCCCGCCACCCCAAATCCTTCTTTCTCCCAAGTTGTTCCTCCCAACTCTTCTCGATTTACCAATCCTTCTCCCGCCACCGCAAATCCTTCTTCCTCCCAAGCTGTTCCTCCCAACTCTTCGACCATACCTCCTTCTGCCTCACATCCTGGCGCATCTAACTCCCCTCCTAAAAAATCTTCGACCAAAAACCTCTTCACAGCTCCTTCTAAACGCTCTTCTTCCATCCCTTCTACCCACTGGATAAAACCTGACAAGATCGGCCAACCTAGCGGCTGGTCGTTCTATAGCTCCTCTTCTTCTGACCCCTACAACAACCCTCCTAAAGACTGTTACACCTTTTTCGAAATCCAATTTAAACTCGGGCTCCGCTTCCCTTTAAGCCCTGAGCTGCTCCAAATTTGCGAGTGGTTCGGGCTTCCTCTACACCAATTTCCTCCCAATGCCATCCGTTTCATGACCACCTTTATCATCCTCTGCCACATTCGTCTAGGTCGATTCGACCTCGCCTTCTTCCACTACTGCTATGCCCCTTCCAAACAAGGTCGAGGCCTTTACCTGAAATGTCGAAATGGCGCCCACTTCATCAACGACATTCCTACCAACATCCCTAAGTGGATTGATAGGTTTGATTTTGTCGAGCCTAATGCCCCTTTTCCTTGGCCCTCTATTCCTTGGGTCAAGGAACTTCCGCAAGAGAGTTCCACCCCTCCTCCTAACGCTCTTTTCGACCGACGGATTCACATTTGGAATTCCAAGCCCGTTAAGTCAGAAAGGCTCCTTAAGGATGAGAGCCTTCTCCATCATTGCGACCTCCACACCCACAAAACCTGCCCTCTATACACTGAAATGATCCTTGATCTTATTCAGATTAAGGATGATCCAGGTAATCCTCAACCAGCTTGCTCGATCGGTCTTTTATTCCATTTTAATTAAAGTGAATTTTATTGATATCGACCATATCTTCTTGTTATCTTCTTGCAGAAGCTCCTAGTTTTAACATTCCTCTGAGGAAAGCTCCCCTAAAGAGGAAATCTGGGGCCACCTCCAGATCGTCCGGGGATAAAGCTGAGGGGTCGACCACCTCCTCGCCATCCCAGACCGAGCGTCAACAACAATCACTTCCCCGACAAACACCACTACCTCCGCCACCATCGCAAAGACAACAACAATAGCAACACCAACAACAACAGCAATAGCAGCAATCAAATCCTCAACCACACCAAAAACAACAGCAACAACAAAAACAACCATCCCATTCACAACAACAACAACAACGACGACGAACTCCGTCACCTCCTCCTGAGAAAACCCCGCAGAATGCCTCGACCACTACTTCCGCTGGCAAAACTTCGACCAGCTCCAAAACCGGCACCAGCCAATCCTCCTCCCAAAAAACTGACCCTCAAACCACTGATCCCAAAGATGCCACTCAATCCAAAACCGTCATTCCCAACAAACCTCCTCCTTCAAACCAGCTTTCATTGAAGGATCCCGCCATTGGCTCGACCAAAATCGTGGTCGGTTCTAGTGGCCAAGAAAACTCTGGGCGCGAAGTGTCCCAGGGGAAACGCTCCCGCTCGGAGCAAATAGAGGTGCTCACAAAGCGTCCTCGCACGAGCCATGCCATTGACACCCTGGCTCCGCAACCTTCCTCGCTCCTGAAGGTCACGGTGAATGATGTGGTGACCCGTCTGTTAGAGGTATGCTGTAAAAGCTGTGTTTTGCAGTTTCTATCAATTC